AGAATCAGCTTAGAAATTTTACCTTTACATTGGTAATATAATTCTTCAGTGCTTCTAAGCACTTTCTGATACCATTTTCTCTGCATAGCCCAGGTGTTATCCTCAGTGATTCAACTAGAGCCTTTCGACATCTAAGATGGAAAATAAAGTCAAATTGTCTCACCATTTGGGACACAGAAAGATAAGCCCATAATTTTGTACAGTTTGAAAAGCACAGTTTTCATTATGTTTTGTGTAAATGGCAGCCCCTGACGCTGTGCACTGTACAGCTCACATTTACAATTGCAGGGGATCTGCTAAAATACTCACTCACACAAAATGGATTTAATTCTTCATTCCTTCAAGTGGTTCTAAGACTGAATGCCCCTCCCCCTGAAACAGCCTCCTCTTAGTCTTTCTTCATGCTTGGTACCAAAATTTGACCTTAGATTCTCAAGATTAATATTACATCATCCAAAGACTGCTGGGAGTTCCTCAGGGTGAACTACAATATTCCTATCCATTTCTTTAGTTTCTAGTCATGGGGAGCAATAGTTGAAGACCCAGATTTTCAGTAATGATCTCTACAAAGATAGAGGCAGGCTGCATACAGGTTTAATTTTCTGACTCAGTGATCCTGGTGGTGGCCTATCCATGCTGTTTCAGAGCTTAGCATGAAATGGTGAGTAACCAACCATCAATGGAATATACAATGAACCTGCAGCCATTATTTTACCCTAGGTGGTAGTGGCTCACCACTGGTTCCTGACAACTTCACAGAGCTGGCCAAGGAGGCCAGATCTGAGACAGGATATATTCAACCTCAACCTCAACCCTGTTGAAAATGTCTAATCCTATCACACACTTAATACTTTGCCTGATTTCCTCATGTCTCTATTGATATCTGCTTTCCTATATATTTCCCCCAGTTCATCATTGTGACTGACTCATCATATGTGCTAATGCTTACATTCAATCTCTAATGGACACCCTATTGCTAAAAAAATTTTGGTCCAAAGTTTATACTCACTCTTCTTCCTAAACCTACTGACTATCTTCCTAATCCTACCTACTATCCCTTTTTTGACTGGATGTTCTATTCTACATTCAATCATCCAAGGTACAAGGTCCTATGCCATTGTACATGGATTTAACGGAGACATCTGTAGAGAATGTAATTCAAAGCTAAGTATCCCAATCAAGGGTCCAATGCCCTTCTGGCCTTCAAATCTTACTTAGATTTCTGTTTTCATACATATATCTCACCTATATATTATTATAAATATTGCAGGATCCCAATACCATTCTTCATCCAACAGAATGATTCCTAACCCAAATCGAACATGTTCTTAACCCCAAGCATTCACTGTTCCCTCAATCTAACTTCACAGAAGAGCAGGGACAGAGTTGGTCTTACAATACAGGAATGTAGGCGATCTTCCACCTTCTGAGAACCTCAAAGGTGCATGCAGAAATGATCCCTGGAGAAGATGTAGGCAGCTAGGAAGGACCGGAGAGAGCAAAAGTCATCTTCCATGGCAGAAAACCTGATCAGGATGAAGGGATGTGTCTGAATGAGCCTCTCTCTTCTTAATGTAGACAAGGTGGACCAAACCAGACCTGTGTGGATAGCTTTTCCTGGGTGCCTAT